TATAACATTTTATAAAGATAACAATAAAGTATTTTGTTAGAACTCAATGATTATCCTAATTATATTTTAGATTTTTTATATTTAAAATAAGATGTTTATTCTGTATTTGATTATGTTTATCTACAGTTAGTTACACGAATTCAGATATGGAGCTTTAATAAGTTGTATTTGCGCACAATCTACTTGTAATCTTGAGTTTTAAGTAACATGCATTTACTAAACAATATTTTATGTATAAAAAGTGGTTTTTAAGGGTTTTTGTCAAATGATTTATAATATAGTATAGATAATGCTATTAAAGAAATAGTTCATATTAAAAAAATTGCCAGTTAAGGAATGACCAATTCAGTTCTAGGAATAGATTTCGGTAAGAAGAAGAGTTAACATAAGAAGCGTAAGAAGGAATCACCACCTTGGATATACGTTAAAGTGTACTGGATCAATCCTCGTATCAAGTAGAATTCATGTGTGGATTTGAGATTAAATGTGATCAATAGTACAAATCTCTTCTTACGCTTCTCACATTGGCTCTCTTTCTCACACGAACTTTCGTCTTCAGTTCTATGGGTGGTTTGACATAAACCCGTTAAAAACTTAAAATTGAGCCAAAGACCTACCAGTTAACCAGTTTGTCCATCTATAAGTTGCAACATAACCTATTATTAAACCATAAGGTTGGATTGCAATGAAAAGGGAAATTATGGTACTGAATCAATCTTATTTAAATGTCAACACTAATGAAGTGCACCAAGATGCACCAGATCAATTTCTTTCTAAAACGTAATTCATGGATGGACATGAGATAAAAATGATCAAGATTCAAATCTCTTCCTACGCTTCTCACACAAAATCATTCGCCTCGGACCCATGATATGCATACTCATTTTAAGAAAAAAATTAAATGTAATGGTAATTAATTTCTATACGAAATTAAAGACATTTGGAGTCATCAAGTGGCAAAAATTGAACGTCCAAGAAAACAAACATAATCATTGTCGTGTAATTTTTTGAGGAACAAATATTCCATTTTGCTCAAATAATCTCCAAACACCACAAAACTATAAGCTATGAAAAACTAAAAACCAAACACGCACGATACCACCCACCCGGAAGTTGGTTCTGATAGAGTGGTGAATGTACGCAGACTTGACCTCTGCCAACAAACGAGTAGACCCGTTTGTTTCAGTAAAAGAAGTACAAATAAGCAATCCCGGAGGTTAGGTCTGAAAGGATGTGGCGAAACTAAAAAGCAAAGTGCAGCTACCAAAATTGAACAACTTTTTTAGGCATCGGGGACGACGACTTCGGAAACATCCAACAATTCTTCGACTTCGACTTCTTTGGCTTCGTATTCCTCTTCAACGTCACTGGCTTCTCCATCTCTCAGTATCTGTCTCTCCGTCTTCTCTTGGTTGTGATGCGTCTTCCATTCATTTACCCACCTTTCCCACTCCTCCTTCAATTGCTTCCTCTTCTCACGGTCCTGCTCGCTTAACAACAATGATATATCTTGATCTTGTACGTCGTACTTCTTACTGTATTTCTTCAGGTTCTTCGAGATTTCTTCCTCTTTCTCGGGGCTCAAGAAAGATGGCGGCCTTGGCCTCCACAAGAACTGCAAATGTAGTACCGTAAGAACAAATATGCTTAGGTCATGTTTGGCACTCCTTATTTTTTGAGCTTATTGAAAAGTCCCATTTGGTTAGTCATAAGCTAGCTTAGTATTTCAATGAACTCTGGCGGCTCTTCTCCAATTATGCCCATTTGTATCTTTTTTCAAATCAATTTTTCAATAGGCTTTTTAGGTCATTTTACATTGTCATATAACTTATCAGCTAGGATTTAGCAAGCATAAATAGTTTATCAGCCAACAGCCGGCTTATAAGCTAGTTTGCCAAATAGTCTTGGTGCTCATGAGTCATGAGACTCTGGGACGGAGAGGTTTAACCAACCGAGCAAGACAAAATAATTTGACAAGTATCCGCAATGCTCTGACAACGCACACCTCGACTACTATGCAGAAACAAAAACCGTGACTGACTAAGATATTAAGCGTTATATTGCCACCATATCGAAGAACGACATTATGCATTAGCCTAATAGCATAGTTATCCTGGCCTAGCGGTCAACGCCCCAGGTCCTAGGTCAAATCTGGCAATGATGTCATAAGTTAGATTCCCTCCAGATGCCATCAGTTACCAACTCCCATTGGCCAAAAAGCCTAGAATTTGCTTAAGTAAGTGCATACGAAGGGGGTGCTTTAAATAAACCCAATGGATTAATCGAGCCAAAAATACCAAATAACATTGTAACAAGAGAAAAAAGAAAAGCAATCAATTGGTGAAGTTCAAATTTACCTGAAAGAAGTGGTCCTTTGAAATACGGTAGAGCAGCTTTCCATTGAATGACCATATGTTAAAACCATTTTCCATCTCATGCACCGAAGTGACTGAAGTTGCAACATACCTATAACCCAAGTATCAGCCTATATTAGTTTTCGGCATGAATATGTTAGCATTACATGAACTGATGTTGGAATTTATAATTCTCCACCCAAAATGTTCATTTCATAAAACATGCCAGTTACATTCAGAAAGCTACCTTCCAGTAGGATCCCATTCTATATCTGTAGCCATAAAGTGCTCAGCTGTTGCCATAGTTTCAAGCTCATCCACATTGTAAAATTCCAATTGGCCATTGAAGCCCTTCATCCCAGCCAAAATAATAAAGCGGCCACCAGGTGACCAGAAAAGAGCATTTGCCTGTTTTTGCTTGAGCGTAGCAAGCTTTGATACTTTACCTCCCTTCATTGAGTAAAAACTTACATCGGGCTTCGGGTTATCACCGTGAATAACTGCAAACCTGTGACCCTTTGGCTCCCACGCAAATGCAATTATCTTGTCGTTCTTGTTTTCAAGCTCAAAAACCTCTATAGGTATGTCACGCTCTTTAATACGAAAAAGCTCGAATCCAGTATACGTGCTCTTCTTAGTTTTTGTGTATCGGTCAACTTTAACAGCAAGATACTCCCCATCACTTTGCCAATACATTTTGCAATCACTAACGCTGAAGAGATTCTTCTGCCTTAACTCTTCTTTGCTTGGGATTTGGAAAAGGCTCACCTATATATATCATACAGTTTTCAAAACATAAATATCAAAGAAAATACTAATGTTGGCCCTTTGGGCCTCAAATCCTACCCCAATTGACATTGATTTAGAGAAAGAGGATTAATTATGATATTTGATGCAAATTGTCTACAAAACCAATCACTTATTATCAGGAAACCTTAATCCAGAATCCCCAAAGGAGTATAAATAGAGAAAAAAGACCTTCACAAGAAATTTCTTGCAAAAAGGTTGTTCTTGTAAAGTATAAACTTGTTTGCAATCTCTTCTCCATCTCTTTCACCATAGCATCTTCGTCTAAGTTGCCTATTTATTTATATATCTATCTTTATTATACATCTCATAGTAAACCCATTTTTTGTCATCCATTTTCAAAAATCTAGATAGAACCTATTTTCTCACAATTATGTTATGAGGACACCCATTCTCAACTAACCACCTGTCATTGTTCTTTTTTCTGAACTGAAGTGTGCACTCTACAATTTACCTAGTTGGTGTCAGTTTGGTTTGTGCACCTTCAGATCCAACTGTGTTCGGATTTGCAAGAAAAAATTTCTTTATGTGATCATATGAAATTAAAAAAAGTGGTTGACAAATAATACATCTTGCATGTTCAAGAACTGAGTTTGAAGATGATGAAATTGGGCTTCATGGCATTAAGAAAAAAATAGTGTATTTTGGTGTGTGTGATAGTGGCTAATAAAGTTAAGCTGTTGCCAAAAGCTATCCTGAGCAAGATGATAAATGGAAATTTGAAAAAGAAAAAAAAAAGAGAAGAGCTTAATAATATCCAACAACATGAAGAACTTACTCTAGCAGGTTGATTTCCGCCACCTTGTTCAGGAACAAAGAGTGCAAAAATAGGATCAGTGGGGGACCAACTAAAGTCCATCACATTTTCGACTTTAATGGATTTTTTATCAATAAGACTAAAGGTCTCAGTCTCATAGACGGAAATGACATTTTTTCCAAGTCGAGCAAAGTATTTGTCCTCTTTTCCACCACCCCATCTGCAAAGTATAGCATAAATGTGGTCAAGAACAGAAACACGAGAGAAAAAATCCATAGCAATTTGTAATCGTACAAACAGAACACCTGAAAACAGGCCAAGAAACCCCAGTAAAACCTCCGGTTCCTCCAAATGCAAATTCATCTGCACTTCCCTTAAAATCTCTCATTACTTTGCCGGTTCTAACATCAAATACATTGAGCACAACTCTCTGATCATGAAGAAATTATCGAGAGTTGTTAAGTGATGTATTATTCTAATTACATTATAGTTATTGTATTATAAGTGATCTCCTTACATGACTATCATGAGGGGTGCTTGGTTCATGGCTGCTGTAAGTAACCAGATACTTCTCACCAGGAGAGAAGTCAATCAATTTAACCTACAATTACAACACAATTCCAATTATTTAATAATGTAAGACTAACTCAAAATAATATGTATTGTGTTATAAAAAACCTTGAACCCAAACAACCTGTGGATGAGCATAGCGCATTAGACGATTAAAGGTAGAAGCACCACCCCAAACAGCAGCACCCTGTCGATGTACCGTTGCTAAGTATGTTCCCAAGGGAGACCATTGCACAAAACTTTCAGTCCAGAACTGCATAGAAAGAACAAAAAGTTTGCTTTCATCATCATTCTTTCACAACCCAAAAAGATACGAAGTAAATACAAACTTGCACCACCAAAAATGGTTTGACGGAACATTACTCAATAGATAAAAGGTCAAGGATAAAAAAGGATGCCGGCTTACAGGTCGTTTGTAAACAGGATCAGTCTTCACTTGTCTCGCATCATTCCACAGGACCTCTGTGTCAGATCCAGCACGAATAACAAACTGATCTCTACCTTTCTCATCAGTAAGCCAGTGTTGTAGATTCTCCTGCATTGATACACCAAAAATTTAACAAGATTTTCACCCTTATGAAGTAAATATTTAAAAAACTCCAACAAAAATGATGGTATGCAAATAAGGATAGATATAGCTTAAGAGACACACAGCAGTTGAATACCCTTTTTAATACTTTCCTATATTTGCAATATTCTTTGTTAATCTCCACTATATTCTGTTCAATATACAAAAGAAAAAATACAACACTATCTATAGAAACAATTAGTAAAAATTAGGGTGATACATTAGCTGAGGTAAGAATATTATCTTAATCAGGCAAACAAACTGAGTGAACATAAATCCACCACCAATTACACGACCAACTACTATCAAACACTTGAAAAACACGACTCCTATTAGTAACAAGCAACTCTTTCCCAAAATGTTTATTTTGTATGACCTAACTCAAATTTGCGGCAGTGCACTCTCAAACCATAAGTCCTTACTACTTCAATGATCATCAGATCTTAGATACAAAGCGGCAACCCTAAAATATTAATTTCTCCTTTTATAGACAATATTACAAATTTTATTGGATATCTAACAAGCGTAACAAGATCTACCTGACTTACGTGGATCAACTGCCAGGAAAATCATGGAAATATCTAATAATCATGCAGACACGTTTTCATCCACCCAAATACATGACTTCGGATATAGACACTAATTCTAGAAGCAGCATGTTTAAATTTGCAACATCACATCATTTGAAGAAGACGTTTATTCCTTGACAATAAAAAAGTATTGCAGAATATATAAGGGATGGCAACACAAATACCACTCAAACATAAAGCTTCATGTTGTGGGGTAATTACAAGGCACAGAAAGTTAACTACCTACTTTCAGTGATTACAAAAAAACATTAAGGATATAATGCCTATGGCATCAAAGAATAAACCAACATCATTTAACTACAGAACAATGCAATTTCTACAAAGCATAAAGTTATAAGCAAGCTGAAGTACATACCCCTGATGTGTATGGTTTAGTTTCTGGTGGAGCCCACTCATCTGGGACACGCATGAACTTCTCAATTTCATCAAAAACGTTGACAGCAAATATGTGTGCTCTGTCTAGCTTGTACCCATTCGTCTTCTCCTTGGCTAGCTCAGCTTCCTACAACAAACCATGCCACAAAAACACAAAATCAAAATTGATTTATCTCCATCTTGCTAAAATATTTAAACCCTAACTGAGAACAAAAATATCTTAAAAGGAAGAAATTTGGAGAACTGAATCGGTAATCCGTTTATCAGGCAGATGTTTAAAGATTTATTTTACCACTAACAGGGAAGCGTATGCCAAGGGAACCTATTTAAGTGGGTATGAAGCCACATCAACCCAAAAGGCATCGACATGACAATATGATAAACGACTTAAGACTTCATTTACATGCAATACTTTTTTCTATGGATACAATGACTAAACCAACTTCTGTCTCCAATAAATTTATGTTCACAACACACAAAAATAATTAACAAGATTTCTGGAACAAGCCATGGATATAAATACCTGTGGGGTATTGTATTCAATGAAGCAGTAACCTCGAGTTTTCCCAGTATCTTCCTCAACAGGCATCCAAAGCCCATTCTCCTTGATTACCCCAATTTGGCTGTAAATCTTTCGTATTACACCTTCAAGCTTCTCAAATTTCTCCTTGGGCACAACCGGCAAATTATCCACAACTATAACGTTCCCAAAACCAGCATCAAATTCCAAGGAATTGTCCTCATGAAGATCCTCGTCATCACTGAGAATATCAGATACTCAAATTATCTAATGATACACACTCTAGGCTTTTACATATACATAAATACATATACTTGGTGCTATATTAAGAAGAAAAACAAGCACAACGTACACAGATTATCAATGGTCCAAACAACACGTATAGATACATAAAAAAAGATGACCAAAAAAGCATATAGACATAAGAGATACATATATCCTTGAGCGAGTGCGAGTTTCCCAATGGTAAGCTCTTGCCCCATCGCCGAGTTGCTAAAGTTCTTAGTTTGTTCAAAACAAGCACATAAATACTCAATGAAAATCGTTCAAGGCTGTTGCAGTAGTAAAAAAGCACAAGCAATTGAACACATATTTAAGCATTTATCAGTATAAGTATCACATTTGGAGTTCTTAGCTTTTACCTTTTGATACCAAAATCTTCACCTGGAGGAACCCAAACAGAGTTCCAATCAACTACCGACAAATCGATATCCAAACGAGAGGCCTCGGTTCTTATATCTTCCATCGACATCACTTCCGCCATGGTTGCTTGATGCTTTCTGTATAGAGAAAAACGGCCAAGAAAAAACGTAATCCTAATCCGCTTTCAGCGTCCCCTTTTTGCAGGAGATGTGATCTGTTGGTTGAAATTAGGGTTTTTGATAAGAACAGGATTTTTTTTGAGGCGATGGTGTCCGTCTACAATTAGGGATACTCTTTACGAAGTTCACGTGAGAGAGAAAAAAAATAGTCTCAATGTTTGGTACGTCGATATAAAAAATATATGGTGAGACTATTTTTAAATTTTATGTTGATGGGACTTTTTTAAATTTTATGTTGATGGGACTATTTTTAAATTTAATGCGATAAACTTGATGGTTTTTGTTTCATCAAAAACGATTGAATAACATCAGACTAAATATAAATTGACTATATTACCCTTGTTATTTCTTCTAATAGAAAACCTAATTACCATTTGTACAGCCTCCTTCATCACGTACATTGATTTCTTTCATATCGCCTCCTTCCATCGTTTCTTCCACATCGGCTCGATCTTAGTCTTCTTCGATCGGCCTCCATCGCCTCGTCTCCTCTGCAATCAGTATGATTTCTCCATTTCTGCCTCTCGTTTCTTTGCCTACATACGATTTCTTTGCCTACGTACGATTTTTCGTTTCTTTGCCTGCGTTCTTGCAAAAACCAGTGATTCTCAAATGGTGTTTTGTTTCTGTTTCGAATTTAGAACCGTATTATAAAACTAATATTCATAACCATTGATAAGAAAGCATGAGGTTAGGATTGCATCCCCCAATATTTAGAGCCAGAGTAATGAGGATCAACAATATACTTAATATGGCTTCTGTTCATGCACTTATGTTCATGCACTAAAGCCTATTTCCAGCAAGTTGATTACTCTCCATAAAGCATATTTCCAGCATTGCTTCTGTTCATGAAGAATAGGCTATTTCCAGCATTGCTTCTGTTATGCACTTGTGGGCTACTAATGAGCATCAACAATATACTTAACAATTTTGAAGCCTATTTCCAACAAGTTGATTACTATCCAAATTATTGAAAGGATGCTCATTGAAAGGATAATTCTACATATAGTTTTAGATGAAGCTAGGAGATGTTTGTTGTTGTTCATACTTACTATCTACTTGGCAGCATGTATTTCGATGAAGTTGCCGGTAGTAATAGACACCCGAGTATTTACAGAGTAAGCAATATGAAATGAGAAATGGTTTTTAAGTGGACTTATTACCTGTGGGTTTTCATGGAAATTGTCCCAAAATTCAAGATTTTTTCTTATATTAGGACCCACATGGAAATTATCCCAAAATTCAAGTTTTTTTTCTTATATTAGTTGAAATGGAGGGGGGCTTGTAATTAACCTATGCAATGTTGGTACAAGCATGCCAAGAACACATCTTTTTAATAAGAGTGCTTTATATCAAAAGTGTACTAGAGTTATAATGGTTTATAATTCCATAATGAGTATTGTTTGTTGAAAATGTATCTTGGGTCATTGTTTATTGAAAAATGCATATGAAAACGTATCTTGGGTCATTGTTTTGACTATTGTTTGTTACTTTGTTTTGTGCTTTTTGTAGTGATAGACCGGAATCACTTGGTTGTACTGTTAACTTATGGAATATTTACATTCAAATGCTCATTTATTTGTTTTTCCTTACACTTTGGTCAATTGAATTAGAGAATAGAAATAGTGAAAGAGAAACTTTAGGTCAAAGAACTTTCACTAGACTTCAAATTAGATCAACCGAAATACAACGTATTACACAAGAAAGTGACGTAAATTGTATAAATGAGTTGCGAATGGATAGAAATGTTTTTGCAGTTTTGTGTGATTTGCTTAAAACTCGTGGTGGATTAATAGATGATGGTAATATGACAATCGAGGAGCAAGTTATTATATTTATAAACATATTAGCACACCACACTAAGAACAGGACTATCCAAGTTAGGTTATATAGGTTGGGGGAAACAATAAGTCGGTATGTTCATCGAGTAGTGCGTGCTATATTGCATTTGGAAGACGTGTTGCTTGTCAAACCAACTTCTATAGAAGATGGTTGTACGGATTCACGATGGAAATGGTTTAAGGTAGTTATTATAACAATCTTTATACAGTACATAATATAACATCTAACCTTTAGCTAAAACCTATTTATCTTTTGCGTATAGGGTTGTGTAGGAGCAATAGATGGAACTTATATTGAAGTAATTGTACTAGAGTCTGATAAACCAAGATATCAAACAAGAAAAGGACATATTGCGACCAATGTATTAGGTGTGTGCACTCGTGATCTAAAATTTGTCTACGTTTTAGCCGGTTGGGAAGGTTCAGCTACCGACTCTAGAGTTCTACGAGATGCAGTTACTAGACAAAATGGATTGAAAGTCACACCCAATAATTACTATTTGGCGGATGCAAGATATATCAATGGTGAAGGTTTTTTGGCACCATATAGGGCCACTAGGTATCATTTACGAGAATGGGAAGATGCTAGTCATGCACCTACTAATAAGGAGGAATACTTTAATATGAAGCACTCACATGCTAGAAATATTATCGAAAGGTGTTTTTGGCATCATGAAGAAACGTTGAGCTATATTACGAAGTCCTTCTTTCTATCCAATAAGATATCAAGGGCGAATGATTTTAGCATGTGCTTTGTTGTATAATTATATTAGAACATACATGACCACTGATCCTCATGAAAATTCAACAATCACTATTGAAGACATGTCTATTGTGGAAGACCACTCTTTACCATCAGAGGCCATTGATGTCATTGAGGCAAGTAATGAGTGGTCTCAGTGGAGAGATGAGTTAGCCGAAGAGATGTTTGAATCTTGGATGTTAAACCGTAATTGACATTGGTTTGAATTATATTTGTCTTGTTTGTAATAGAATTATATTTGTATTGTTTGTAACGGAATTATATTTGTTTTGGTATTTGGTATTTGTTATTTTTTTTTATAGATTTATAAAATATGGCCGATCGTCGTGGGTGGACAACGAATGAGGAAGACTTGTTATCACAATTCTCCAAGACATTGTCATCAACGGGGGTAGAGGTGACAATGGAAGCTTTAGGTCGGGTATATATGAGGCCGTTGTTTCAAAGATGAGGGGAAAAAATTCCCGGTATTAGCCTCACGTCGAAACTTGTACAAAACAAGATTAAGCGGCTAAAAGATAAGTATTTTTCCGTTTATGATATGTTGAATACAAGTAGATTTAGATGAAATGACACAAATCAATGCGTGACGGTAGAAGCTCCCGAGATTTTGGAAGAGTATCTAAAGGTTAGATATTAGTAATGGTATATGGGTTATGTATAATACTTTTTGTTACTTCACTTAATAATTGTTTATTTGTTTTTTGTCGTAGAAACATCCTAACAAAAATTACACAGCGAATAAGCGATTCCCGGCTTATGAGCGGTTGAAGTTGGTGTTCGAGAAAGATCGAGCAACGGTAAATATGGCTGAATCAGCTACAGACGCACTAGAGAATATGAATATGGAAGACAACGAAGATTTTTCAACTGAATTTGGTGTTCCTCTCTTTCCAATTCCTTCAGATACAATTTCTCCTTCCTTCATTCCTCCAAGTGAAGGAGAAGAAACAAGTAAAAAGAGAAAAAGGAAAACCGGGTTATCTAAGCTAGTGGAAGAAACCAAGAATTCGATCGATGAAGCAACCACCCAAATGAAAAAGTTGGTTTCGGTCATTTCAGATTCTACACCCGAAATGGATGGCTTAAAAGTTTACTGGTTTTCTACTCGCACAATACGACGGGATGTAAAGGTTCTTTCAACACAATACGACGGGATGTAAAGGTTCTTTCAGGATATATTCAACTTTTAAATATCATTTTTTAACAAAATATATTTGAAATAGTTAGGGGTTCACATCTCTATCAAAATCCAAAAATGAAAAACTAATGCAATTTCTCATTAAGAAAGTCTAAAATTTATGTTTAAACAAAATAGTAATTAGAATCATGTTTTAATCATACACAATCATCATTTAAAACTTCTTGATACACCATATTTGATGTGTAGACTCCTTCTCGATTGAACTTTTTGATAAGTTTCACTAATACTTTTGTATTACCAGTTGATATCTATGACAGCAGTCAAATTCGAAATCTCATGTTAGCTTTTATTAAGATTATATTAGTGTTATTGAAGTTAATTTATAAGATTAGGAGTTAGTTAGGTTAGTTTAGTTAAAAAAATTTAAGAATTTCCGRYAGTTGCTTAGAAAGTCCGGTTCCGACCCGAAATTATCTGAAACGTCCTATACAGTACCAAATATATATAAAACACTAAGTTTTAGTGTTTTAAATATAAAACCTTTCTATTTAAATAAATTTAGTCATCGTGGGCTTTTAGAGTGAAGAAAAATGTCAAAATTGAGAAAATAGGCTTTGTGCATTTTGAGTTTAGTTTTTAAAAAAAAAAAAACTTGTTAGAGGGTGGGCTTGGGCTCCCTATGGCCAGCCCCTCCCCTCTCATTTCCCTCCTTCCACATATAAATAACATCATTTTCCATTAATCCTCATTATTCCTTCATTCAAAATTTAAAAATTCTCTTATTTTCCTCTCCCTAGAAAACTCAAGGGTCACCTTGAGAACCCTCCTACTCCTTCATTCATATTCAGCCGATTTCTTCACTTATCTTCATCATATTGGCAAGATTTTGAAGATACAACAATTCTCTCCTTCAATATCAAGGTAATGCATTCATCCCTCCATCTTTTCTTGTAAGTTTTGGGGAGAAAAATCCACTTTATTGCATTTTTCATCTTCTATTCTCTATATTTCGTAAATATTGAGTCTCAAGGTGAGATTATACAACAAAAACATGTAAAAATGTTTATTTGATGGTGGTAATCTATGACCCAAACATTAGAACTCAAAAAGGTAGGAAGAAATCATGATTTTATGTGGTTTATTTCTTAAAAATTTCATATTCTGGTGCTGACAGATTATGTGCTTGTGTACAAATTGTCCATATCTTGTAAATGACTTGTTCAAATGTTATGAGGTTTCTTTTAAAACTTTATTGAGTTGAGGTTGCAATGCATTTGGTTTCACTCAAAAACATTGAGTTTTGACAC